GCTGTAGTGATCTGTTAGATCTGTATCTTGGTATATAGGATGTTTCTATGTTGTAGTGATATGTTATATCTATATCCTGGTACATAGGATGTTGTTATGCTGTAGTGATCTGTCAGATCTGTATCCTGGTATATAGGATGTTTCTATGTTGTAGTGATCTGTCAGATCTGTATGACTACCTGTGTGGCGGTCTAGTCATGATGAAGGCTATGAGAGCGTTCCAGATAGTCTGTAGGTCTTCGAGGCGGTCCAGCCATGCTGAAGGCTCATGTATGCATGCTTATGGTTTCAGTTTATTGTTTTGGATACTTCAGAGGATCGTGGGAAAGCGAAGGTGTGATCGTGCACATCTTCCTGTTTTATGACATTGGATCTTGGGATACTCTGATTTTGAATAATACTTTTGAAACATTGGTTTTGTAAACACTTTATGGAAGAAATGGGTTGTTTTTGAAAAGTTAAAATTTATTGTGATTTTTGGATGTTACAAGTTGGTATCAGAGCCCTGGTTTGAGCGAATTGGATGAATATTCGTGTGAATCCGGACTCAAACTAAGGATATATGAAAGTTTTCAAATTATTTTCAAACTTAATTCAAATTATTTTTCAAAATTAACCAAGGAAGGATGAAATGTGTACGATAAGCCGGAGCAAGAAAGTTTACCCCAAGTTACCACACTGTGACTTTTCTATGATGATTATGATAGAACTACATGTTAGTGATAGGCTAGGGATCTTAAGGAATTGTAGGATAGAATTGCGTGATGTATGATGCCTAATAGCCTAGGAGGACTTCTTATGCTAGATGAAATTTACATCATTACTGTAGTCGCTTAGTGTGTGCATCATAGTTGTACATAACAAAGATTCTATAGCCTGAGAATGTTTGATTTAGATTTATTTCATGTTTTTGTTTGATTAAGGGCTTAGGGTAGAGTCAAGTATTTGACTGTCTATAAGATCCAACGGTATGTATGATTATCATGCACAAGTGGTTACAGGGTTAGTGGAAGTTTCATGAGTGGGTGCAGTTCATAGTAGGTCAGCGTAAGGAATGTTTAGCCACTCTTGATAAAGTGAGGACATGATGAGGGTGTATCCTAAATGCTTGGGCCTAGTGGTCGGGAATTTCGTATAAGGATCTTCTTGTTTTTTTTTTGTGTTTTAGTTCCAGTCGACTCCACTCTCGAATGCTGCTTGCTTTGTGCTTTGCAGGACTCATATTGATGTGAGTTAACTATCAAATGAATATGTTAAATTGCATGCTACGAAAATTAAATAATCTTAGAGTGAGGTATTTGGTCCTATTGCGTAGCTCTTGTTTGAGTCTAACCGTTTTAGGGTTGGATCTTTTAGTCGAAAGATTATTTAAGTTTTATTGTATATAATAGTATTCATGAAGTTGTTAGCTGACACTAATAGGGGCTCTTCAGCAGTTGATGTCAGGGGAGGTGGGGAAACCTAGGAGAGCCTAGAAAGTGCTTTAGTGCGGGTATTACGCTGTTGAGCAGGTATTGGGAGTATTATTAGAAGACTCGGGATGATTCTTGAGGAAAGTATGGATAGGTGTGGAAGGTGGTATTGGGCACGTACTACTGGAAACACATGATCCATACTCGAATCAAGGAAAATTTCGGGGATTCTAAGGGATGGTCGGGGAAGACAGCATGGTTGACATCATGATTCGTGGAAGTGGTTACCTACCTGTCGATCTTTTGGTCATGGTTGTTCAGGTTGAGGATGAGACTGGTGATTCTTGGGCTTAGGAGTCCATGTCAGTTTGGACTGCATAGTGAATCAGAATCCTATTACCCTAGTTATTTCTATCCGTTATTTCTTTAGCAGCTTCTTCAATCTCCGACATTGAAGAATTAGGTTTTTCGAATCATATGTTTTCTCGAATGGTGCAAGAAAACAAAGCAGGTTCTTGACCATCGATATCCCAAAACCACTCCCTCCGATGAAAGCCACCATGGTTCCATGTGTCACCTTCAAACAAAAATCCCTCAAAGTTGCATCTTGTTAGGTTTCAGAATCCTTTCGTGAATTAGAAGTTGACCTCCTGGCATCTGAATCCTTTTGTGAATCAGAAGCAAGGTTGAAGAAAAAATTTCAGATCTAGAAGTCAATGGACATAATATATTTACACCCCTTCAAATCTGCACCTTTTTAGGTTTTAGAATCTGAACATGTGTGTGTTTATCAGTATGTATGTGTTTTGAATTAGGAAAACCTAATGATGTTTGATGAAGATGACCTATGTTTTTGTTTTGTTCGTATGTATATGGGTTTTGCAAACATGAGAGAGAGAGAGAGAGAAAGGGGGTTACCGGTGGAGAAGGGTGGGTGGGATAGGATTATATTTTTATTTTTTTTTCTAAATATTTAAATACTGAAATTAATAAAGAAAAAAAAACAAATGAAAATGGCAAAAAAGTCATTTCAAATTATTCAGGGACCAAATCCACGGAAAGTTTGTGATTTTGGACCAGTGGTGCTAGTTGGAAATTTTTTGGACATTACCTACATTTTTTTGCTACCCATAAGGACCAAATTTGCAGTTTAGTCAACATTGAACCTGCCATATGGAGAGGCCACTAGGTAGTTGGTTATTTGATATATATATATATATATATATATATATATATATATATATATATATAATATATATATATATATATATCTATATATATATATATATATAGAGAGAGAGAGAGAGAGAGAAAGAGAGAGAAGACTAGGTTCAAATGTAAATGACATTTATTGTGCGGACGTGTGTCGACAATGTTATTATGTAAGAATGACTATGAAAATAGGTTGTTTAATAATATTAATACGTTCAACCTCACATAACTATTGTAATTATTATGTATTCTCAGTAATTATCATTCATTCTTGTTCATAAGCATCGTTATTCACTCGTTCTCATTTTACAGAATACGATTATCAATACCACATTCCGACATAGAAAATTGTTCATACTATCTTTATAGACGATTTAATTGGTGAGAATGTTTGATAATTGATGTGTGTTAAACGAACTAGTTTTAATCCCACTAACTTAGACACAAAATAAACACACAAAAGGCAGTGTAACTATCGATTAGTAATATAGTTCAAGCAAGTCGGGTATCGAACACAGGGAACGGTAAACAATTAAAATAAATGCTAATATTATCTAAATAAAACAAGTAATAGAAAGGGGTTTTCTCTAGTTTTGCAAGACTAGGAACTTAAGTACTTAACTAATACTCAACTAAGCAACTAACAGCTAAGCAAACGAAAATCAACTAAATTCAATAAATTTAAAGAGACTTCTGTTTAGATTCGATTCACTTATTCCTATGGTTGATTTTATGGCAAGTGCAATGGATTAATTGGAATTGGCTACCGATTAGTGTGATTAGGTTCACGTTCGCTATTACTAATCCTTAGAAAACAAATTAATTTAAGCAGTGATCAAGTGATTAAACTAATAAATTTCCTAGTTTATTGATTCGGGTTAAGTAAGACTTGTAGTTAGCTAATCTAATTACTAAGTCAATTAACTTCTTGTTGATGGTTCGTCATACAAGCTCACACATTAACTTACCTATTTTCTAGTTAACCCTAGTTTCACGTTCGCTATTCCTAGGCATATAACAATGTTTTCACATAAATCATATGAGATAAGCAATTAAAAAATGTTCATGCAGCTTAATATACTTGTAATTGACAGAAAATAGTTGTTGTTAACACATAAGGTTCTTTAACAAGCTTAACAAAACAAAACTCACCAAATTAAATTAATCCAACCATAAAATCAAGCCATATTCATAAAGTCATCTATCCTAAACAGAAGTTATGAGTTTTTAGCTCATATCTACAACAAATAACAACATAAATTCAAATTCTAATGATTCAAACATGGTTCAAAACAAAGATTAAGAAAAGAAGAATAATTATTTGCCTTTGATCTCTTCTAAATTGCTTCTTAGGTTGAATTCTCGAGAACTAGAGCTCCAAGAACCCTTCTGGCCTCCAAAAATCGTCCAAGGCTTCCCCCATTAGTTAGGGTTCGAATGAGAAGCATTTCTATATATATTATGAAAATAGGGGCGACTCGGCGAGTCCAGTGACCGACTCGTCGAGTCCATCACTTAAAATCCGTGGACGGCAAGTCAGCGTAAAGAATCGTGAAACTTCTGACCAACTCGTCGAGTTGATGGACAACTCGTCGAGTCCATTTGGAATCAACATTTTCTCAAAACACGAAAGTCGTCTGAAATTGTGTCTAGTTTTCAGAACATTTTGAATCTCGTCAATCGGAGTTATGGTTCATGAGATATGGCCAAAACACTGACGAGGGGTCAATCTGTCCAACAACATCTTTCTTTCTTCAAAATCCAAGATCCAAGCTTCCAATCGCCATTTTCGCTTCCTTTTGCTCCCGAGCACATCTTTTAGGCTGAAAATACAATTTAAACAATATTAAGTAATTTTTGTCCATAAATTGCAATAAATTAGCCAAAAAGTATTAAAATTCTATACGAAATATATAGCTAAATATGCACATATCAATAATACAATAGCTATGTGAGGTTAAACGTATTCACATTACCAAACAACTTATTTGCTTAATTGGTGAGAATGTTTGATAATACAATAGCTATGTGACGATTTAATTGGGATATTTGAATTTTGAATGTGTGTGATTGATGCAAATACAATTTGTTTTTGTGATTCTATCAATGCATGTATGTAAAGAGTCCTTGTATTACTCTCTTTAAAGTTTTTAATGTGTATATAGCAATATGCTTCAATTTATAATCAAAACTGATTTAGTTTTGTTTGTATGCATCCTTGCTTCTAATCTAGTGGAACCTGGTCCAGTTCTTATCCTTAGCAATACGTCGTATAATTTCTGTGATTTATGTCAACTCAACATATCTTAGGATCCGGTAGTATAAAAAATATATAAATTATTGTTGAAGGGCCTTCTTTTTTTTTTTTTTTTTAATGTTTTTGCAGAGTTGTGAATATATTAGGAGCGGTTTTAATAATTTACAGCTTTCACAGCCGCAACTTAAGGTCATGGATGAGAAAACCCTTCTCTTCTGTAAGAAACCCATCAGTGTGTTTGACATCTGGTAAGATCCATCATAAGTCTTTGTTGTGGATCTTTTTCATAAAGGATATTTTATAATATATTTGTCTTTTTTATGTTATTTAGTGAGCCGAAAAAGATCCCATGGGGTGAAGTTGGAGTAGATTATGTTGTAGAGTCTACCGGAGTCTTCCCCGACAGGGAGGAGGTTGAAGGTTTGATTGAATCTTTGGTATTTATTTAGCAATTGGGTTGTGTTTAATTGTTTGTACGGTGATTTTTCAGGGTGGTGCAAAGAAGGTAGTAATCTCTGCTCCTAGCAAGGATGCACCCATCACCCATGTTTGTTGTGGGTGTCAACGATAAAAGAATACAAACCTGAGTTTCATACCTTTTGCTTTTGATAAAAGTTACCAACTGTCTTGCTCCACTGGCTAAGGTTAACCTCCATATCTGCTAATACTATTCGTCTTTCTTTCTATTTTCATATTTTTTTGCTTTTGATAAAATGTTCAGGTCATTAACGATAGGTTTGGCATTCATTGTTGAGGGTCTTATGACAACAGTTCACTCGGTGCCTGGTATGTATCGACTAAAAGCAAAATGTACTTTAACATTCCAGCTACCTACAAGGCCTACATGGAATTGAATCTTCCATCAATAAGGTACCAGAGAGCTCGAAATGCGAATCCTTGCTGGATCACTCCTTTCAGAGCTGCTGAGGTAAATTAGCCTTTAATCAGCCACGGAACTCCAAAGTCGAACCAGATCTGGGTCACGACTCAACGTTTCGAATTTTAATTCCAGTCGATGTTCCAGATCAATTTTATTTTTGTTCCGATCGATTATAAATCGAGTACCAGATGCGAATTTGGGAATTTAACGACTCTTGGCAAACACGATTGCGACTCCTCGATTTCTATTCGACCTCATTCAGATTGTAACTTCCAATTTCACATTACAACAATTATCAATTATAAATACCTTCCAAAGATTAACGATTTTTATCATCACTTTCTCTTCTACACTTGTATTCTTCTTTCTTCTTCAATTTCTGTTAATCTGTTCTTATAGCTTCAATTTCTGAAATGGTGCTTTGCAAGAATCGCAACGCTCCAGGAGATGACAGTGAGACACAATGTTCCATTGGTCTGTCTTCTTAATGATGAGTCATTAGAGCTTTGATAGTTTGATGTTTTGGTATTTCTGTAATGTTCCCGTACTGTTTCATCTTTTCAAGAAAAAAAATGTTCCTGTTTTTGAATTTAAACTTAATATATTTGGATTTGAAGTTTGGTTTATGAGAATTTGGCCCGAAAATCCGAACCGAAACCCGAACCGATCCGAAGAGAATTAGGCCTGAATAAGCAATTCGATTCGGGTTTTAGGTATTTATATTATACTTATTCAGTTTTAAATACCCGACCCGAATAAACATTTCTCTTCCCTTTTCTCTGATCAACAGAAATCAAAATCATGATTCACACTTATGTCCTTGTCGTTCATAATAGAAAAAAAAAAAAAAACTTACGCTCGTTCTGGTCATTTCAAAACCGACCAATCTTCTCATCTATTTCCAAACTTGAAATCACTTATGTCGATCCTTTCTTTTGTTTCAAACTTTCAAAAATCAACCATTTCTAATGTCTCTAAGGATTTACGAATTCCTACTTTGTTTAGTTATGAAAAATTGGGCTCCAACTCAAGAAACTCAAGTAAGAAATTAATTTTGATTATGTTAATTTACTATGTAAATGTTATTCTTTTAATGTGTTATATGGTAGTCTTTGAATGTTTTATGTTAATGTATAAAAGTACATTGTTATTCTATTATTCAGGGTTATAGAATCCTAATATGGTTTATTCGGGTTTTTTTTCCGGTTATATTAGGTCTTTAATCATCTTGTACATGTTATTTGAGTTATTTGGGTAATAACCTAACCGAACCGATTAATACCTGAACTGAACCAAACCCGCATTGGTTAATCGGTTCGGTTTTCAGTTCATGCAATTACCCTTATTCGATTTTCGGGTTATTCGGCTTCGGTCCGGTTCCGACCCGAATAACATCCCTAGTTTAGAAGCCAAATTTCAAAATCCAATTATATTAAGAAGTTGAAAATAAAAAGTGATGATGAAAATCTTTATGCTTTGGAAGGTATTTATACATGATAATTGTTGTAATGTGAAATTAGAATTAGGAACACCGGTACATAATTCAATGAATGAGGTCGAATAGAAATCGAGGAGCTGCAATCTCCTTCCAAGAGTCGCTAAATTCCTGTCAAAGTAGAAATCAACATAATCGACGTCTGGTACACGATTCATAATCGATCGAAACAAAAAATATTGATAAGGAACATCGAATTCATAGTTTGAGTCGCGACAACGAAATAATTCAGAGTTCGTGGCTTATTGAGCGAATTAGGTAACTATGGATGGAAAGATTGGGTGGCATGGGGATGGGTGCGTGTTTATATTTTAGGAAATTTTCGAATTAGAAAAATATGGAAAATAATAATTATTAGTTTCTAAAATTTTCTAAGTTCGTGATTTTGAAAAACGGAAAACTATCATTTTCTATAAAAAAATTTAGAAAAAATGTTGAACTAAATACCTTTCCAAAATTCTCATTTTTCTTAGAAATATTTTCCAGAAAATGGCTTATTTTTCTGTAACCAACTTTATAGCTGACAACATGTAACTTGGTATGCAGATTTTGGTGATAACTAATAACTACATCCTATATTGTATGTGACCAACTTTATAGCTGACAGCAGGTAACTTGGTATGCAAATTTTGGTGATAACTAATAACTACATCCTATATTGTAATCGGATTCGTGTGACTCATTGTTATTTGCTATCCAGGTCAAGCATCTTCGATTCCAAAGCTGGAATAGCTTTGAATGACAACTTTGTGAAATTTGTGTCTTGGTATGACAATGAATGGGGATACAGTTCACTTCTCTTATATTTTAACACAATTCACCATGTGTTATAACTTATAAGTCTTATAAGATGCACACAGTTTGATGAACATTTATCTTTTGCACCTGCAGCTCACGTGTTATTGACCTGATTCACCACATGCATGATACATCTCTCCAGGCCTAAACTTTTTGATGGATGAAGTCAATCATCGTGTCCCGGTGGTTTTATTTTGGTCGTGTTTTTCTGTCTGACTTTGGAATAGCTTAGCTTTGAATAACTTTTATTTAATTTTAGGGATAATGACTTGTAAGGGTAACCAACTATATGTTTTGTTCATATTTAGTCACTAAACTTATTTTTGTGTTCGGTATAGGTATACTATTGAACTTGTTGAAATTGTTCAAAAAACACCATTATGACCCGGTATAGTGGATTTTGCTAGTTTCATATGTCTTTTCCGGCCAACTTTTGAATTTCCTGGTCATCTTCCCCACTGCGTGTTCTTGGTGTTTATGTATGCAAATATGGGTTTCCAGAATCATCAAGAATAGATGAACATGAACCTATGAATTCGTATTCTTGAATGTGTTTGTCCATGAATGTGTTCTTAATTTTTTGAGTGAATCACCGGAAGAATTAGGATAAACAACCGAATGTTTGTTTCCATTTTGCAAAACGCCAAAAAATTCAAATTTGATCGGAAAAGATGACCGAAAAATTCAAAGATGACCAGAAAACTCATGTTTGGCTGTAAATGACTCCAAAAACCGGAAAAACCCACTATACGTCTATACCCGGTCATAATAATTTTTTTTTGAACAATTTCAACAAGTTTAATGATATATTGAACACAAAAATAAGTTTAGTAACTAAATGTGAACAAAACATATAGTTGGTTACTCTTACAAGTCATCATCCCTTAATTTTAATAAATCCAATAGATTGTCTTCGATTTTGGAACTTGTATGTGAGATTAATTCCATAAGGTCACAAAACATCGTGTCCGACAAATATGTTAATAACTGAATTTGTCCGGTTTTTAAATTGTTGTTGAAAAAAAAAACAATTGCTTTAGACTAGACTACTGCAAATTTCCACATATTATGGATTTGATTTTCATTTGGTCGCAAAAATGTTTTTATTAGTTATATTTTAGAAAAGTTATTTATTAAAATTATTCTTATTTTAAATGAGTAAAAATATTTCATTTCTTTCACCATCCCACTTAGGTCACATGAAAACGAAGTAAACTATGTTTAACATGATGAAACTAAGAAAATGAACGAATGTATTGTGATCTTCACCTATATCTCTTAATGCTTGACCTCTAGTCGAATTTTGATCTTCTTAGAGTTTCTAAGAAGTATTTCATCATCCTCAGTCGCAGGTATCAACAACCTCCTCCTAAATTCGACCTAATATAGTTTCCATAAAATAGGCGCCACCATGGAGAGAGAGAGAGAGAGAGAGAGAGAGAGAGAGAGAGAGAGAGAGAGAGAGAGAGAGAGAGAGAGAGAGAGAGAGAGAGAGAGAGAGAGAGGTTATTAGGGGTTTTATTTCCTTTTTTATTTTTTTAATTATTAAAGTATTTAAGTAAATAAAAAAATGGAAAAGAAAATTAGGAAATAGTCTTTTTAAGTACGTTTAAATTTTTTAAAGATCAAATCTGTATGGAAGTTTCACTTTTGAACTAACCATATGAAATATGAACGAGAGAGAATGGTTATTAGGGGTTTTCTTTCATTTTTTTTTTAATTATTAAAGTATATAAGTAAATAAAAAAATGGAAAAGAAAATTAGGAAATAGTCTTCTTAAGTACGTTAAATTTTCGAGAGATCAAATCTTCTTTTCAATTTTGAACTAACCATATGAAAAAAAAATGGATTAAAAATGTATTTTTTTTGGATACACCAACTTTGCAATAATGTTTAACACCAAAGTTATTTGTGTAAATGACAAATGCCATTGAATATTTGCAAAAATACTGGTGGGACCCCTTATTGCCCGTTGCGTCCGCACCAAATCGTTTTTCTTTTTTTAACAGGTTGACCGTTTGGGATACCAGAGCCAACAAAGCGAGTGCCAAAAGTAGCCGTTGTGCTGCATTTTATCGATTTATATCGTTTCTAAACCCTAGCCCTATTTCTACATGATATTTGGCTTTTCAGGAAGCACTCAACCTGCTCGATAAAATTCCCCACAGAAACATCATAAATCTTTCTACCCATTTCAACAAACCTATCAACTTTGAGGAGTTTCTACTTGTAGAAATGGCTTCAAGAACTGCGAGCAAAGACATAATCACTCTCCGCGGATCCACAGCCATTGTCAGCGAATTTTTCGGTAAAAACTATCAGTCTCTCGTTGATGCTTTTCCTTAAAACCATGAATCTGTCTGAATTTCTTGATCCTAATAACTCTCGGTTTATGCAACCGCTTTTCAGGTTATGCAGCAAACAGGTGAGAATTGTTAGCGATTTCTCGTTTTATGGGTGTAGATTTCTGTGGATTCGATTGGAAATTGCTAATTTTGATCGCTAATGTGTAGTATTCTGTACAATCGTGGTGTCTATCCGGAAGAAACTTTTGGAAGAGTGAAGAAATATGGACTTCCATTGTTGCTTTCTCAGGATGAAGGTGTTAAGACATTCATCTCAAATTTGAATAAGCAGCTTTCCGGTAAACACCCAATATATCGTTGATAACACTTTTCCCCAATCTTCATACAGTTTTGGTAAACTTTGTATTGTGTTTTGCTTATGTGATTCGCTTTTGAATCTGTGTATTACAAAGAATGGCTGGAAGCTGGGAAGTTACAAAGGATTGTTCTTGTGATAATGAGTAAGGCCACCAATGAAGTGCTTGAGAGGTGGAATTTCAGTATAGAGACTGATGGTGAAGTTGTTGAAAAAGGGTAAGATATGTCTGAAACTTTAGTCCCTCCATTGATAGCTTATTTTCATGTCAATTTAATGGTTTTTAATCTCCAGAGTTTCGAGGGAGAAGAGTGATAAAGAAATCATGAGAGAAATTCAAGCTATTATGAGACAGATTGCATCCAGCATTACATACTTGCCCTGCCTTGATGAACCATGTAAGTATAAGTATTAACAAGTTTGTATGGATATGTTATATGTATGATTAGTTTTTTGGATAATTGATTGGTTGATTATGTTTAAATTGCAGGTATCTTTGATGTGTTAGCATATACTGATACGGATGTTGCAGTACCTTTCACTTGGACAGAGAGTGACCCTAAACTGATAGCAAATCCCCAAATGGTGAAATTGCATTCTTTTGATACTAAGGTATTTAATTTATTATTCGTTTATACTTTTTCATTCTAATTTCATATGAATCTTTGTAGAGGCATAAGAAAATGTTGTTTTCATGATGCAGATACATAAGGTTGACACAATGGTGTCTTACAAGAATGATGAATGGGATGACCAGTAAAAGAAAGAAAGACAGGGATGTTTAAGAAAATTGTTGCTGTGTTTTTGTTGTTGATCCTTGAAGGTTGAATGATGTGAATCGTTTTGATTCACTTGTGTGTAGGAATGAAATATGAATCTGGAAACTTGCTTTTTCTTGAAATTGAAGAACTTGCTTGCTGCAACAAGACATTGATTTTCTGGAAAAATGTCAACACTTATATGGGTGTGGTTTGGTTAAAATTAGACCCTAAAATGGAGGCTTGAATATAGGTAATCAAACTAACCCTCAACCTAAACCCTAAACCCTAAATCTAAACCCTAAACCCTATTGTGTCGATCTTGAATTTACATCTTGAAGTATTAATCGTGAATCCATTAACCGTAATCTTTATATAGTAAAACAATATATTTTCAAGAGGTTTAGTACCTAAGCTTAAGTGGGGCTGTAATGTATATATTCCATTTTCCCATATATATATATATATATATATATATATATATATATATATATATATATATATATATATATATATAGTAAATGGATATCATAAGACCTCAGAATTCAAAAATCATTAAGACCTCAGAATCAGGACCCGAACTGATCCAGAAAATCACAAGTTCTTTAGAGTTGGATCTTGGGTTGGTTTTGCAGTAGGTGTCAATCTAGTCAAAAGTCCTTGTTATGGCAATGATTAGTGATGCGACCTTGGCTCCGACCACCTGCTCTAAGATGTGCTTCTACGCCGGAGGGAATCTGCGAGGTCACAACAGACAAGGCCGTCAGCTGTTCTTCAGGAGGAGTTCCCGGGAAAACGCTCCGACGGTCAAGTTAGTGGGAGATATCTGAGAGAGAGTAAGTAGCAAGAGTCGGGAGAGATAGCTTACCTCTCAAAGCAAGGCAGAGGTCCTTTTATACTGAGGACCCTCGCTGGTCCATACCAACAGGGACTGCAGCTCCGACAGGATCTGCAGTCCTGATTGGTTAATCGTGTTCCTTGTTGTGTCAGGGGCAATGATTGGTTCAGGCGGTAATGCTCTGAGCATACTCCTTGTTGTCTGGAGCCGTTACGCTTGTCGTGTAGCGGGCCGGACCTTCTGTGCGGACGTCCCACCCTGAGGGAACGCCCGGGAGGATGGAGGCCTGCTGGGGCGGCTATGCTGGGCCTAGCCAAGCTAGCCGAGGGGTCCTCCAGCCCTGGGGATCTCTACTCCTGGCCCACATTAAGGGGCGCATTATGAATCAACATCAACCAAATAAAACTCTCCATTAGCCTTAAAAGTGACAAATGTCGCTAGCCATGTCATCATGTCCACATCAAACGTGTCAGAACCCGGCTGCCACCTCAGCTTATGAATATACAGACTCACTAACAGATGATGCAACTGCACCTTTTATGATGACATTCATGTCTGGTGATGAAGAAAGAAGTTTTACTTTTTTTATGGTGTTCGAGATTGGGCCATAGTAGATTACTCCTGAATCTTTATCTTGTTTCTCTGATTCGATGCTTTTTGAGGTCTAATGGTGATCTTGTTGTCGTCTTCGATTGTGGTTGATTGAGATGTGAATATTATTTGGGTAAATGGAAGGTGATTCATGGGGTTGAAGTGGGGTGTTGTGGTTTGACTTTTCTGAACTGATGCTTCCGAGTTTGTTTCGATGAAGAAGACGACTGCAAAACAATATCAACAGAAGCCATCAAAATACACTTTTTGTTCATCTACAAAAGCCATAAAGAAAACATCAAAAGACAAATTTTGTTCATCTCTAAATACCAAAAACTTTTAAGTTGGCTCATGTACACAATAAATTTTTTATGGAATTTAAAAAAAATAGAAGGAAAAAAGATATGGAAAAAATAAAGCAAACCTATTTGAAACTTTTTCATTCTCATCCACTCTAGAATAAATGAAAATGAAAAGAGAGGAGAAACAAATGTTTTTTAAATAGACAAAATAATTCAATTAAATACTCATTAAGTAGCATAAGGTAAAAGAGTTTGAGAGTTTCAAATCAATTTGGTTCTAGATAGATAGTCTATCTTGAACCACATTCATTTGAATAATCTTTTTTATAAGATATATGGTTTGGGTTTTTTATATTATTATATCTTTGCCAGTTCAAAAAAAAAAAAGATAAAAAGATTTATATTTTTATTTTTAAGGAAAAAAAGGTGATTTAATTATTTTAATCATTTTTATAACTTATTTCAATAAATTAAATATAAAACAAACAAATGCTTACTATAATATATAATCGTAAATTCTTTTAGATAAATTCAAATTAAAATTCTAACCCTTATATATATATATATATATATATATATATATATATATATATATATATATATATATATATATATATATATATATAACGGAAAATATCATTAAAAAGCCATGATTAACAAGTAACTAAAGCAGGGTGGAATAAACAGTACAAACAGAAAGATAATGAAAACATAGAAGAAACGGACAAAAATCAAAAACTAAAAGGGGGAAGTAGATAAATGAGCAAATGACGAACAACTCCACTCAGCCCAACCGCACGACTCCTATGCTTATACCATGAGTATGAGTTTGAGATAATATCATCCGCAACCTTCGGTGGATCAACTCGAATATTCTTGAAGATCTTATCGTTCCTGGCGAACCATATATACCATAGTACTCCAAATAGAATAACATCACCAATCACTTTCTTCCTTTAACAATTGTCCCATATAGTGTTTGTATTAAGAAATTCAGTAACACTGGAGAACCCCCAAATAGTGTCCCGAACAGTAATACCACACCATTTAAAAATCCTAAGTGAACCTCCTTGGCGAATTCACAGTGTAGAAAAAGATGATCCACCGATTCGACATCCTTGTTGCATAAAGTGCACATCTGATTTGATACTTGTAGCCCTCGTGCTTTTAGATTGTTTGCCACTAGAATTCTTCCTTGCATGACTCTCCACACGAACACCTAACGGTATTAATTTTGACCAGCAGATCCGCAACCCTTTAAAGAGGATCAGTTTAGAGTCTATGATAAGCCTCATACAGTTTACCACGTAATTACCGGTTTTTGTCGGCATAAAACGAAAACCATATGATGAAGAATCCTCTTAGTTATTCAGGTAACCAATATATTTGTATAGTTGAACCAGTTCGTGGAGTTCAGACGGGTTGGAAGGTGACTGTTCCCAACACCACGTAAAACCATTTGCTGATACTCGATCAGAAAATTTACAGCATTTGACCGATTCAACCTTATATAAATGGGGAAGCTTTTTTTGAAACGGGACCGAACCGCACCACACGTCTTTCCAGAACAACATCTGAATATCTGATCCGTGAATGATTTTGAATATCTAGTGAGAATCGACACCTAGATCACCCAAGGATTTAACAGCCCTTTGGATGTTGCGCCACACCCTATTGAAGGTTTTTCTAACAATGAAGTGTGCTGGTTTCTTACTCAAATTATGTAGACTTGTAATGACATTCTTCCAAAGGCTTCCTTTTTCGTTTATCAGACGCCACTACCATTTGATTAAAAGTGCTAAGTTTTGTGCTTTTAGAGTTGATACCCCAAACAAGCGTCAGAGATGAGGGCTGTGATTTTAGACCAGCTGATCCAATGTATCTTGCATTTTAAATCACCACTACCCCACAGGAAATTTCTTCTGGTTTTTTCCAAAGAATGCTTTAAACAGAGACATAAAGTAATTAGGCAAGCTGTTTAGGACAGATTTGATTAAAGTAATGCGACCTCTAAAGGAAAAAAATATGGCTTTCCAATCAGATAGACGAGTTCTGAGCTTGTCTATGATGGGTTTTCAATGCTTTTTCAGTCCCATATATGCCCGGACCGGTACACCCAAGTACTTGAATGGAAAGTAATCTTCTACACAGCCCATAATTCTAACCATGCCTTTCAATTCAGTATCAGAGGTACCAATACCGAATAACCATGACTTATGAAAATTGACCTTTAAGCCTGATGAGATATGAAAAAATTTTAGAATTACTGAGAGGTTTCTGATACTCGATTTGTCCCATTCACCTGCAAAAATGGCATCATCCGCATAGAATAAGTGAGATAAGTGCGGACCATTGAAAGGAAGCTTAACCCCAAGTATCAGGGAGTTTTCTTTGGCACTCTTGACAGCAATATTCAGACCCTTCATTGCAATGATAAAAAGAAACGGGGAGAGAGGATCTCCCTAACAGAACCCTCTTGTTGTGGAGAATTCAGTGGACGATCGGTTTACTAACACAAAGGTTTATGCCTTCGACGTATGCTGATTGCACTTCATCTACCACCACCGAGCCAACCCCTTGCTTTAAGCGAACAACAAAGAGTTTGGCTAAAATCTTGTACATACATCCAATTAGGCTTATGGGTCGATAATCCTGATACTTTTGGTATTAGAGTAATAAAATAAGAGTTGCAACCGGTGGATATGTAACCCGTTCTTTCAAAGTGTTTGATGAAACTGATAATGTCCCCACAACCAAAAGCATAATACAAATTCCTTCTTAGATTCAAAATCCCATAGAAACAATCTTACGATCCGAACACCCGCTTCAAATTCCCTTTCTTTAACAAAACAAGATATTTGAATGAATTTCAGTTCTAAAAAGGTCTCACTTCTGTTTTTTACCATAACTAGCGAACCAAAGATTCCTATTAGGACCGGCTCGCCCTCTTGCTCAATATGGTAAGGTAAACATCTCTAAAATATTCAACAACATTTGCAAACATTACACAAACAAAGTTATACATAATCATCCATGAGAAGTTACAACATCTAAGCACAAATATTCACAACATTTCAAAAAGAAACATGACAAATGTACCCAAGCCTAGCTAATACCACGATAAATTGCACCAGGGCAAAGCTCATCCATGACATCAACATTTCTGTACCCATTATATTCTCTCAAGCAAATCCACCCTCGCCTCGACAGAAAGTCACGAAAATCATCTTCCGTATAAAAAATCTTGTCTTCCGTATGGACAGGCACATGATCCGGCTCCTCAAACAAGCACACTTTGATCATCAAGCCTGAAAGTTGACCGGTTATCAGACAGACAAACAAACTCTTACATGTGTTTTTGGCTTTACACATAAAAGTTGAATGTAAAAAGTCAAGGGCATTTTAGACATTTACCTTCATCGACATGAAGGGTGTAGTTTCCTAGAGGCATATCTCTATCAAGTGTCCTCACTATGTTATCGATATCTTCCAACCAAAACCCTCGATTTGTTCTCAGTCTAAAAGCCGATTTGATGGTTTCCTTTATGGCATCCGGTGAGCCATCGATACCAATTCGCCGTGTGTAATCCCCTAACTTGACCGAAATAACCCTACCACCATAAGTGTTATTCTGATCACCTGTGAATATAATAACATACTTGTAGCTCACAAAATCTTCAAGGGTAAAAATGGATATGAATAAAAAAAAAGTAATAGCTGAAACCATTTCCAGGATTCTCCCTCCAATTCCATGGAGAGACTCCACTGGCTGCCATGGTATCAGCTGCAGTGATGGCAAGAGGATGACCCTCTTGATCCAACCGTCTTTCAAGATTAAGCGCACCCCTTGGATTAGCTATGACAACAGAAATAAATTGAAAACTTTCCTTTTTTAGAAAGATGTTTTCCTATTTTCTTTTCTTTTTTGGGGATAAATCTGGAATGGATAATAAGAATTTTGATTTTGTTGATGATCTAATTAAATTACCTTCTACAGGTCCAAAAGCAATGCCGGTGTCATCTACACCTGCACAAAATAAATGATATAAAATATATTGACAATAAACAAAGAATCAACAAGGATTGAGATCACGGAATAACAGATCACGAAGATATCATATGAACTGATGAATCAACCAGTCAAACAGAATATAATTGAAGATATCGAATATCAAAACACCCCTTCAAATTTTCTTCGTATCACATCAACGAATCACAACACAATTGCTGTTAAGGACCCTTTTTAAAGCAAAATTACTCTAATTCAGAGCTCAATTGAAGTACTGTTTTACCTTTATCAGAGAACTGCATAAACGAATCGACTTTCAAGTTTTTGTTTCTATCCCTAATAACGTCTTCAACTTCTTTATAGAACTGCATCTTACTGTTAGCTGAATACCCATTATGATTAATCCCGTTATTCTGCTCCTTGGCTTTCTTGAACTCCTTCAACAAGTTCCTCCACTTGTCCGTACACATGGTGGGCGATCGATCAAAACCCTTTTCCCTCATTTTCATTGAAATCTGATCCCATAAGTGCTTGTTTGACTTTGAAGTGTTGAAGAGTGAATCGATCTCATGGCGGAGGAGGATTAGGGTTCGAGTTTCTTCTTTGACCCAAGTCTCGGCTCGTTTCTTCACTGGTGCTGAGGTTGTAGTGGTGGTGGATTTGATAGTGTTTTCTTCGCTGCTGGTGGTGTCGCCGCCGCCCGGAGCCGCGATAATCATTTGGGTTTGGTGGTGGTGAGGTGCAGAGGTGGATTCCATCATCATGTTTGTTTCTTGTGGTGGGTAGAAATTGATCGCTTGAGGTTTTGCAGGTGAAAACATTTGGAATTCAAACTGTTTAGTGAGAGCTTCCACCCAACGCCAACAAGGGTTTATGATTTAATAAAAAAAAATCAAATTATTGGTGGGTTTACTAGTCATAAAATCAAAAGGAAACAATTTGCAGTCAATTGCATATTATATGAAAATTTTGTTTCTTTTAGTCTAGGTTTTTGCGCCAATGTCTTAGAGAAAATCAGAAAATACTTTATTCTATTTGGGTATGTTTCTTGTTACATTAGTGATCATGGTGTAATAATCCCAT